TACCTATGCTTTCTTCCTTACTTAAGGATCTGGAAGAGCCATTTTCTTCTATATAAACAAACAGGCATTTTTTTTGCTTTGTATTCTATAACTGACTGCAATTTCTATAGAGTTCTAGCCTTATCAGTGTAACCAATTCCTGGTAAAAGCAAAATAAAGAATAATTATCTATGATATCTCTCCTTCCACAACTTGAAGATTTCCAAAATGGGCAATTTTTCCATTCTGAGTGATTTGACAGCATTGCATATATACTCCATAAGCATTAAGCACGGATGATATTTACTCTCTACATCTATAAATTACGGCAAACAAAACAACAGTGCTGCGTGGCCTATCTATGAAAACCTTGTAAAACAATACAGTCAACTCTGGCAACAAAGTCAATAACTTGTCAGTAAGGAAACCACTATTGGGCTTTCTCTACCCAACCCTCCACCTTTCCTAAGCCCTTTTCTTCTGATGCTTCACATTCATTTTCTTAATGTTTTTAACCTAGTGTCTGTGAAATTTTTATTGCTCCCTAGATAATGACATCTGATCTGAATGTAACCACACACCTCTTTGCTCAGCAACATTTGTCACAAACCATTATAAATTATCATGCTGATAGTGTGCATTGCTGGGAAACCGGAAAAGTTCCATAAATTCAAAGTACTGTATCAGTGACATTCTTGTTTATTATCTAGGTATAAAGTTTTACTAGATTCAAGATGGCTACATTTACACAGTAGGATACTTCAGCAACACGAGACTCGTACAGCTTGCGCTAAGTGCTGAAAAGCATTTACCACATGCAGCAAACACTGGAGCATTTTAACTAATATGTGGCCATATGTTTTGTCTCTTCTGTTCATTTTAACCATGCTCCTGACTCCAAAAATGCATGGTTATTATTTGGGCTTGCCTGAGAAAAGGCAAAATGGCCAAAACCCCCTCAATTTCCTCTCAAAGTACAACCACAATTTCTGTTTCTTGGGCTCCTGAAGAGGAGGCATAGCACTAATTAGAGTTAAAAGTTGAAAAGAGACTGTGTATTTTTTAATTATATATGTCCTTGATAACAATCTGTGGTTGACATGATTGTATACTTCCTGTCAAGACCCAGTACAGGAGCTCTGTGTAGAAGATTTTTTTATTAGATGAACCTAGCTTGTGTGAACATATTTTTAATTATTTGCGTACCTTTATTCTTCAAAACTGTGAAAGCTGAGTCCCTTGGAATGCCTCCAGAGAAACAGGAATTTTCACTATGTTTACTTGAAATTTAAAACAACTCAAATGGTTCTGATTGTCAGAAAAACATACATATATGAATTTTATTAGCAGACATTTGAGAAATACTTATTCATTAAAGCATAGCATAATAAGTAGGTAAATCAAGGGCATATTTTTCAAATTAATTCCAAACCTTAACATACAAAGAGACTGACTGGGAACAGCTTCAGTACAGCTAATGCTTAAATGTGCTGCTTTTGATTCTCCTCAGAGAATCAACCTTTCACCAGTTTTATATTTCAATACTTCTAACCCTCTATATAAAGTAATATTTTTAAAAGTTAGATAAGGTCTCTTGAATTTCTTGTTGGCACTATGGAACAAGAAGGTAACCTTACCAAAGTCACATCGTTTCCCTCCCTGGACTCAGGGGGTCCTTGTTATTAAAGTTGTTTTCAATGCTAACTAAGGTCCAAGATGCCATGAACAGCATTATAAACAGGATTTTGGGAGCTAGGCCAGCAAGCTAATCTTCTCTAGTCTACTCTAATTGTATGGGACATTTTTCGTTCCCAGACATGAATTCCCTTATCTCTCATTTTCTATCTGCATTTCATATTTAAGTGCTTATTAATTTCCAGTGCTAAGCCTTTCAATAAACTAGAGTGTAACCTAAATTACACATTTCTAGATTGCAGACTGAGTTTATAATAAACTAAGCATATCAGGAAAACAAAATATACTTAGCTGTGAAACCAAAAAATCTTGTGATGTCTTTATTGCATTAATCTCCTGTTGTATCCAATATTTGGTACAAGGAATGTGAATTTTGTAAGGAGATGCTGAAATTTCAGATCACAGAGATTGTTGACAAATTCCTGTTGCTGAAACAGTTTTCTGTTATTCTGATCCTAAGTTTTTTTTGCACAAATACAATCCCTCTCAAGTTTAAAAGAGCAAATTTTCAATATAAGTAAAGTAGCAGCTAAGTAATTTAGCCTGGCCTAGAAAATTAGCATTTCAGCATAGGCCAAATAATGGTAAAGTCATCACCATCGCACACTGCAAAGACAAGACAAACAATCCTGTTTAGAGACTTCCTTCCACCCACTACCATCTCATTACTGCACTGGGCTCCATTTCAGAGGAAGAAATAATGCAGGGGAGAGAGTGGACAATGAACATTGAGAAGGGAGCAACCGAGGGAGGGAGTCAATCCCTTCCCTGGATCCAGTTCAGCTTAGTCTAGCACTTCTTAGCACAACACTATGCCACAAAGATTACTTGTTCTTCAACTAATTGTAAGCTGTACAACATTTTACTGCTGCCAAAGACCATGTTGGTTTTACAGAGTTGGAAAAACATGCAAGGATTTCACACTGAAATACGCTTGATTTAATTTCCTAATTTCTATCTAAGGGACAAAGACTGACAAACACTTTAAACCATCAGCAGTGTCCCACAGAATAAAAGCAAAACTGGTATCATGAAGACACAGGGAAGTGAATCATTGCCTGAGTACAAGACATTAAAAATTAAAGAATGGGAAGTCAGTGTGTGAACATATGGTGTGAATACAAGCTGCAGCTCTACCACTACAGTAAAAACTCATTTTAATGAAGAGTCAGTTTAATTTCATGAGCGCAGGGTTCTCCTGGAATGAAGAGTCAGTTTAATTTCATGAGCACAGGGTTTTCCTGTATTATCACTCAACTATGGTACTGAAATGCTGATGCATAAGTGATATATCAAAAACAAAACCTACAAAAAAGGAACCATGCACCACACTGCATCATTAAAGAGCTTCACATTAAGAGAAAACAATAACTGTGATCTAAGCTATCAATTTATTAAATAATAGGAACAAAGACATGTATGGTAAAAATTAAGTGCTTGAGTAAAGTTACTCTCCTTCTCTCAGTCCAACAATCTAATTTCATGGGCTGTTAAAACCACTCCTGATGATGAGCATCATTTTATGGGACCAAATCCTGTAAAATCCTGAATACTACTGTGAAATGTCAAACACCAACGGCTATTGAGTTTAATCTTTCTGGCATTCAAAGACAATCTTGACTGGTAGCTTTAATGAACAGCAACTCTCTTGCAGTTATCAGAAGGGGATGAAAAAACTTATGATACTCAAAAATATTTAAATAATGAATCACTAAAATATTTTCTTCATGAAACAAACAAGCTGAATTTAGAGGGTATGTTGAAAAGGGGTATGTTGAAAAGGGGAATGATCCGACCATGTGTTGCCTTGTGCAAGTTATGCAGTTTACAGATTTGGGGAAAAGTGGAGAACAGCTCCTGGGAGGCTCTGACCCCTTCTCACTTTTGGAAACAGATGGCCAAAGGGAATGCGAGGACAGGGGAGCAAAGGGAGCCTCAGTTCTCCCACTTCTCCTCTCAGGGAGAGCAGGAGGAGGGGAAAGAAGAGGTACTGGCTATAAATCAGCAGCAAAGGGAGGAAGGGGGAAATATGACTATCAGTCCTCCAGTCCACTGCCCCTTAAAGGGTGAGAGTAAATGCCAGATTAACTCCGTGTTAAGAGGACTTGGCAATTTATAAATGGCCTGTCTCTGCCATGGGCTATTTGTAGTTGTGGGAGTACAAAAGAAAAGGGAACTACCCTTTCAGACTCTAGAGACTTACTCACAAAGGCAAGCCGGCCAACAAACACGCAACGACGCTTCACCCTAACTGCACCCCCGTATCGCGCATCACCGCTCACAGCCCAGCGGACGGGCGCAGCTCAGACGCACCTTATACATCTCAGAAAGTTGTAAAGACCTTTTTAACATGCCCAGACAGACACACACACCTAGACAGACACACACACCTAGACAGACACACACACCTAGACAGACACACACACCTAGACAGACACACACACCTAGACAGACACACACACACAGACAGACACACACAGACACACGCACACCACAGACACGTGCACAGACAGACACATACAGACAGACAGACACACACCCAGACAGACACACAGACACACGCACAGACACACACACCTAGACAGACACACACACACCTAGACAGACACACACACACCTAGACAGACACACACACACCTAGACAGACACACACACACCTAGACAGACACACACACACCTAGACAGACACACACACACCTAGACACACACACACACACCTAGACACACACACACACCTAGACACACAGACACACAGACACAGACACACACAGACACACACA